TCCATCAGGAACCTCTCGGGGTCCATCAGTCGCCTGGGACGGAACCATCTGGGAGGTTCCGTCTCCCTGCGGCGAGGGGGAGCGGTCCGGAAGACCAACCTTAGGAGAGAATGGTCTGACCATGACAAGGGCTCAACCACTATCTCCCCTATTGTCAGATCACTCTGCCACTGGCCAGAGACAAAAACTAGATCCAGTGGGATAAAATGCATGGAGCAAAATAGTTTGAGCATTTGGGCCTCGCACATTCTGGGGACAGTAGAAGAACTGCTGGAGAGAGGCAAGCAGCTTCCAGTCTCTCCCAAAATAAAAGTTGGGTTTCTTGTAGACACGTCATTCTGCGATTATGTGACTGCTCCCCCCCCCTTGCTTTTTCCATTTTGCCCCAGGTCCTTTCCTTCCATGCAGCACCAGACTGGAATTCACTTGCTCTTCTGCAGCAGTGCCTTTACTACCCCCCTGTGCTCCAGATGTCAGGCCCAGAATATTTGAGAGGTCCCAAATGGGGAAGGCGTATGCAGAGAGAGAGGTACCCTCCCTGTACCTGTCAGCAGTTCCTTAAAAACTCCAGGCCCTTTCCTGAGCTTGCAAGGAGCCAGGCAGCTCCAGGAAATGCATGCTGGCATTCAGGAGACATTGAGGAGGTGGTGAAGGGCCAGTGACCACTGCTGCCCCCTGAACTCAAAGGGGTATTTTCCTGAGCCCTGGGGGGCACCTGGAAGGCCAAGAGAGGCATTACTCCTTTGAGGAACTGCTGGCAGGTACCAGGAGGGTGCAGCACTCAGTCTGAAGCACCTTTGAAGTTTAGATCCTGTGCACTTTGTTGATGCTGCACAGTTGCCACCTTTTGCCAGCTAGTTTCCCCAGCTAACCTGGCTGTCCTCCCTTCTCTGGCAGTACGAGCAGGCAGCCGATGCGGAGCTAGCCTGGGTTGCTGAGACCAGGCGGAAGCTGTTGGCACTTGGTCCAATTAGACTGGAGCAGGACCAGACCACTGCCCAGCTACAGGTGCAGAAGGTACGCAACAGGGCAAAGATGGCAAAGACCTTGGAATAGCCGGATTGGAAGATGGAGCAGAGCTAGGCTGGCTGGGGAGAGCAAAGGGACGGGGGTGGCTGGAGGAGATAGTCTGGATGAAGGAAAAGGGACAGCAGAGGTGGGTGTTTCCCAGACAGCAAAGAAGAATTGTTGGGGTTTACAACCCTTGAGAGCTTGGGCCACATTGTATGGAAAATACAATATATATACACTTTAATAACAACAGTAATGGACAGTGTGTCTTCAGCTAGTCAGGAGCACCCAGGAAGCAGTGAGGACAGAATGAATATGCAGTGGTCAAGAACAGGGTGGAGGGAGACCCAATCGTTGCTTGTGTTTTACAGTTCAGATCTGTTAGCATTGTTTTCTTTCATGTAGGCCTTCTCCATCGACATCATTCGTCACAAAGATTCTGTGGATGAACTGCTCAACCAACGAACTGAGATTTTGGGAACTTGTGGAGAGGAGCAGAAAGTCATGCTGCAGGTAGACCTTGGGGCCTAGGAATCATTAAGGAAGGTTGGGGTCTAAGATAGTTTGGAAGTCCACTCTTTAGAGGATGAAGGCCCATTGGCCGGCCCCAAACTCTGCCCTTGTTCCACAGGAGAAGACCGAGTCTCTTCTGAAGCAGTACGATGAGACCAGCCACCTCCATTCGGAGCGCTATGCTCGCCTGGAACGGGCCCAGGTCCTGGTCAACCAATTCTGGGAGACCTACGAAGAGCTGAGTCCTTGGCTTGAGGAGACCCAAGTGCTGATTGGGCAGCTGCCCCCTCCAGCAATTGACCATGAGCACCTCAAGCAGCAGCAAGAAGATATGAGGGTAACTGGGCCTAAAGGGGTGTCTGTGCATGTGCCTGCCGTTGGGAAATGCTGAGTTGAGTCTGCACGGCTTGAAAATGGAGCCCTGGTTACCTTGGTTTCAGTGGATGTTACCTGGGCAAATGGTGCCAGCTGGGTGGGAGAGAGGGGAGGAGAGCTCCCCTGGCTGATCTTGGGCTTGTTAAGAAGACAGGTTTGTTCCTCGTTGGGCTCACTATAGGGTAGCAGCCTGGGGCTTCAGATCAGCTGGACATTGTGATGAACTCCAGCGTGGTCTGCCCTGATGTTAACACACTGCCTGAGCCAAACCCTGGCAGGTTCAGCCAACTGAAGCTAAAACAAAACATGACTAGCACGGTACACAAATATAGATGTTGTGCTTAAAGATAGAATGGAAGTCCAATTTTCTTGCTGAACTTGGTGTTCACAATAAACCAGTGTGCTGGGTTTTCGAATTTGCTCAGTCATTCTTGACTGAGTTTGCTACAGTTTTTGAAACTCAAAAGAAAATAATTGACTATATATATAGCAATGCTTTATTTCCAGAGCCAGGAGATATTTTAGGCTGTAAGTGCTGCTACCTGTTTTTTCTCGTGCTCTTGGGGTCATTGCATCCCAAGCTTTGATTTTTCTATACTTGATATTTTTTCTGTGTAGCAACTGAGGGAATCGATTGCTGAACACAAGCCCCACATTGACAAGCTGCTGAAAATTGGCCCTCAGCTGACGGAGCTGAACCCTGAGGAAGGGGCGATGGTGCAGGGGAAGTACCTCGCCGCAGAGGCCGCCTACTCCCGCATCAAGGAAGAGGTCCGCCAGCGGGCCCTGGCCCTCGATGAGGCCATCTCCCAGTCAACCCAGGTTTGGGAACAGGCCACTGGCTTTGGAGAGGGGCAGGATCTGGCGGTAGGGGGAACGTGGGAGCTGCAGAAGGGGGCAGCCCGCAATAGGGCTACACTGGTTGAAGATGCTGCTTGCCGTCAGATGAAGCAGCGGGGGGGGGCTGGCTCTTGGCCTTAGGGTGGATGGGCCAGGGGGCAGCCCCTTCCCCACCTTCTGCCAGAGTGGCTGCCTAGGGCTGGGGGGACCATTTTGTCACCCTCTACCGGGTAGCTCTTGCAGCCAAAGTGCCCCAAGTGACCTCCATGCTTTGGAAGGCAAATGGGCAGAGAGGGAGGCCTCAGGCAGTCTGGTCCCAGCAGGACTCTCCCTGGCCCAGAAGGGCCTCTGGGCTTGGGGAGGAGGTTCCGGCCTCCTCCCTGGGAGCAGAAGCAGCTGGGTGTGGAAGAGCATTTGGCCCCCAAGGCCTTCCTGGGGACTACCGAGACCCTTCCCGTAGAACACGGAATGATAGGGCTGGAAGAGACCTTTCTCAGAGGTTTTGATGGAGGCAATTGGAAGTTTGCCAAAGAAATTCTACTCTGAATAGAAACAGAGATTTAGGGAGGTTTTTTGGTGTAGATATTTTTTATCAGATTGATTTAGTTTTGGTTTTGGCACGGCAGTGTTTTGGATATATGCAAGGAATCACATTTGTTGTTCCCTCGTGTCAACTTGTCTTGTTAGTTGATAATGCTGTTTGTTGGATTTTGTTCTGTGTCACATCTTTGAAAGTAGTTCTAGGATATATATTTTTATATTATTTTAGTCATTTCTGCTCCCTTTAGTTTACCCTCACATTAATGCTGAGTTTTTCCTCCTCCACCCCGTCTCATCACCCTCCCACTGTGGAATGTCTCCCCTCTTGTCTGTTTCGGTGCCCATTTACCGTCTTCCCTGCGTGCTCATCACCATTCATTGTTGTGTTGACTCCACCATGCAGATTGCAGAGGTAAGAATCCCCTCATCACGTGACAAACTTCCTGCCCTCTGGATTAGCCCCCCCCCCCCCAAGAAAATATTGGAAGGTGTTCCTGTTTTCCTCCTGGAGCGTCATTTAGAATTCTATCCTGCCCACTTGAGGGCAGCCGAAATCCTCTCGCATCCAGGAATAGCGAACCTTCCGGGATGAATGCTGGGCTAGCGGTGTGAAAAAGTCCCCAGTTGCCTCATTAGCAGGCTCCTCTTCTGATGCTGCCCTGTCTTTGTGACTTTCCCCCCCCCAGGAGAAAATGAGGAGTCCTGGAGAAAGTAAAGGTGGCCGGAGACAAAATGCTTGCACATCTCACTAGCGCTTCAGCTGAACTCAAGGCCAGGCTGCTTTCTTTCTCTGCCTTGAGGCCTCCCCCACTGAGAGCTCCCTAGAGAAGCCAGAGCTTGTCCTCCCTCCCATTTCCCCCCCCCTTGCCATAATTCTGCCCAGCAACAGATTTGCTTAACAAGGGTGACTTTCAGTCAGCCATTCTTGGGGGCGGGGGGGGGGAAGGCCCAAGTGTTGGCTCCCAGACTCCCATAGCTGCTCCCTGTTCTAGGGTGGGGGGCCTTGGAATTAGGCAGGGGGCAGGAACAATTTGTAATGTGGCTTCAGAGGGGCAGATGCCCCTTCACCCGTGAGCTTGAATGCCAGTTGATGCTCCTCATGGAAAGGAAATGGATTTTATTCTAAAAAGTCCCAAGCAAAGGCACACATATTGCATCCAAAACTTAAAGACTTCGGTGTTACTGATATATGTCTTCGCTGGGCTTTAGTTCTCATTTTAATTCTCTAACTTGAATCCATAATACATTTAGGCCTTCAAGAGTAGGACAGCGGTTTTACCCATTCCTTCACAAATTCCTAGCAGATCATAAAGTGTGTCTGTGGGGGGGGGGAGACAAAGAGAATGGACAATAGACCACTCTTGGCATAACCAATGCCGTGAAATATTTGACTCCAGTTTTGCAAAAATTTCTGTCTTGGAATTAATTGTTCCCCAAAACATCTGACATTCCAGAAGAATTTGCAAAGATTGTACATAGAGAAGAGCATGTTGACTAAGAAAAATCAGTCAAAGCAGCAAAGAGGTAAATGTACCATTTGCCACAGCCAGTGGAACCTCACTATGGTCATTCCTTCCCTTCAGTTCCATGATAAGATAGAGCCGATGCTGGAGACGCTAGAGAACCTCTCCTCCCGCCTGCGCATGCCTCCCTTGATCCCAGCCGAGGTGGAAAAAATCCGTGAGTGCATTGGTGACAATAAAAATGCCACCCTGGAGCTGGAGAAGCTGCAGCCATCCTTCGAAGGACTGAAACGCCGGGGAGAAGAGCTGATTGGACGATCCCAAGGAGCAGACAGGGACTTGGCAGCCAAAAGTAAGGCACTGGAACTGCTTGAAATCCAGGACGTGCACCTGATCTCTCTTCCTTGGTGTGGCATGACACGCAGAGAACCACAGGTTTCCTAGCACAGCATGCAGGATTTTCCCCTATGGGTTTGTGTGGGGGTTTAATCCTCCTTGCTCTGTTTCAGACATCCAGGATAAATTAGATCAGATGGTGTTTTTCTGGGAAGACATCAAAGCTCGGGCTGAGGAGCGTGAAATCAAGTTCCTTGATGTTCTGGAGCTGGCGGAAAAGTTCTGGTATGACATGGCTGCCCTCCTAACCACTATCCGGGATACGCAAGACATTGTCCATGACCTGGAAAGTCCTGGAATTGATCCATCAATCATCAAACAGCAGATTGAAGCAGCTGAGGTAGGAAGACAGAAGCATTTCATCCTTTCCCACATTGTGCATAACTTGAGTCCTTCAAGCGAGCTGTGATGGCCAATCGAGGGAAATTTGGATTTACAGAAGGTTTATTTATTTATTTTATTTTTATTTTTCATAATTTATATGCCGCCCTTCTCCCCACGGGACTCAGGGCGGCTCACAGCATATTAAAATAACACAACACAAACAACACAACACAACATTTCCCCTATAAAAGCCAATTAAAACCAAATATTTATAGTCTGTGACATTATTAAAATCATTAAAAATTATCCCTATTTAAAATT